TGGTTGCAAAATTTGTTCAGGGCTAAATGCAGTAAATGCATTAGTCCATGGGACCAATATACTAATTTTCTTAACAGTTCTACTTTTATGTTTTCAGTTTCTATTCAAATAGTCTCATTGAGCATTTTTTAATGATAATGCATTGTAAATTCTTTTGGGAAACTGGTACAAGTTGTCATAAAATAAACTACATTTTTATTTTCTAGATGATAAAATTAAACAGTTCAGCATCATGTTTGCTAACATCTAACAACTTATAAAAATAAGTACATCTTATTGGAAAAATATGTAATAATATTTTCTGAAGCATGACCATACTTTTACATTGAAATTCAACACAATTGGAAATAAATAATTGAGTGGTTTTGTTTTTACTATCAGACATGGTGGAAGTAAATACATGCATATAGGTTAGATAGATAGATAGATAAATAGATAGATAGATGATAGATAGATAGGTATACTTTAAAATGTTTCAAGATTCAAGAGCCATCTTAAATTTCTACTTTAACTTTTCAAAAGGAAAATTTAATTTCAGTAAATTGAAACAATGGAAAGCCAACAAAATCCTGGCTTTGTGGTTTTATTAAATTTGTGTTTTCTGAATCTTTGTGCAGGTGAAGAAACAGACCTAATTCTAATCCCCATGTCTTAGACTGATAACGGAAGAACATTCAATTGCCTGGTTAGCTGATTTAGGAGGGAGCTGTCACTAGGCCTGGAAATAGAAATCCAAACCTTTGTTTGAATCAAGATTCAGTAATGCCTTAGGTCTCATTAAAGGAGACAGGATAAAATTTAAATCCAAGTCAGGACAACCAGAAGGGAATATGGGTAGGGATGATTTGGCAAATTCCTCTGTTTTCCTAGTTGCAAACTACCTTATTGAGCTTGTGAGGGATCATAGAGTTTACATCTCTATGCAAGTTAGACACATTCTAGTCTACAGCATAACTTAGTTTACGTTAGGCATTGCTGTCTTAATTTGGTTTTTAATTTAATTTAATTTTATTGTAAAGATGCTGTATAGAGGGGTTACAGTTACATAAGTAAGGTAATGGGTACAGTTCTTGTCAAGCATTGTTACCCCCTCTTTTGTTGTTCTCCCACTATCCTTTCCCTTTCCCCCCTCTTTCCCTCCTCCCCCTGCAAAGTTGTAAAGTTCACTTCCAATATAGTGGTTTATGGGTATCCTTGTTGCAATGGATTATCCTGTGTCCTTGTTTCAGTGTTTTGTTATTTCTCTTCCACTCTGCAAATTAGTCATATACATATACAAGATGTTCTTTTTTCTTCTGTTCTCTCCCTCCCTCCCTCCTTTCCTCCTACTTCTCTCCCTCCCTCCCTCCCCTTTAATTCTGGCTCTGTTCTTGTTGGACTTCTATTTGTTGTTAAGCAAAATTAAAAAGAAAATAGGTAGTCAGATAAGTTGATGTTAAGCGAAATGAACCCCAAGTTAAGGACTCAAATTTTTTTCTTTCTTGCTATTGTGTCAGACATATTTATAAGATATTTCTTTGCAGCTTTGTATGTCCTTCCCCCATGGTATAACCCCTGTTTTCACTGTATTTGATGTTGATATAATTTGTGGAGGGAAAGGGAAAAAACAAATTGTTTAAACAGGGATACAGGTGGACCCATTGCACCAATGAGATGTACAAGATGTTATGTCGAAAATGAACTTTACAACTTTGGCATGGGGGTGGTGGTGAGGGAGGGGATAGGAAGGGATGGAAAGGGGAAACAAAGGAGGAGTCAACAATGCTTGATATGAAATGCACTCATTACCTTGCCCATGTAATTGTAACCCCTCTGTACAGTATTTTCACAATTAAAAAATAGAATAAGTTACATGTGCTCTTGCATTAATAGCTTTTAATATAGGTTCATAATAATGGAAAGGGTGGTTGGCAAGAGGTCTGAAGTGGTATCAATGACATATAAGGGAGAAATGAGTATTACTTTCCATTGATGAGAGAGCCTGGGAATGTTTGCCTAATGAGGGAAGCAGTTGTGACATTAAATTAGCTCTGTGTAGAGAGTAAACTTCAAGGACCATGACTCATAGTGTCTGTTTTGCCTCTTTGTAGAGGTTTTTAACATGTGAAATATAAATGAAGGGGACAATATATTGACTTTACTATTTGGTTCTTTTTATTTTTGTCTAAAGTTTGTGTTTAAAATTTCAGGAAAATTCAAATAATAGTGGAAGGTTAGAAGTGATGAGGGACACATCTAATTAAATAAGTGTCTGAAACAGGGTATTATAATAACAACTATATTTTAATAATGTCACTAAAGAAGATAAAGATAATTAACGTAAATTCTAGGAGAATTTTAATCAATTTTAATTAAGAATTGCAAACTTCAGTTGACATTATCTTGTTTCCCATCTTAAATCTGGATTTCAACAAGCATGTAGTTTTTAACTTTAACCTTATAAGTTCTTCTTCAAGATTTTGGAGATAAACCTGATGTCAAACTAGAAGGAACTGGGCCAGACTGAGTGGCAGGTATTTAAAAACATTATCTTTCATTTCCATGTCCAAGAAACAGCTGAGACTGGAAACAATGTCACAGAGGCATTGAGAACCACACATTATCTGTTTGAAACCAGCATCAGAAATTTATTTGGAGTAAGAATTCAATCCCCAAATCACTGAAAAATCAATGGACTATAACATGCAATATGAATTAGATTAAATGAGTCTTACATTTTTGTTATATTTTATAAATGCTCATAGATGTTTGTATACTCTTTTGAACAACTTGAAAATTTAAGTATGATTTTTCTTATATGCCCAATAATGGATGGTCATGAAGAAGATATTCATAGAATGTTACTTGTTAAATATTTTCCCAGATGAATTATTTTACAAAGAATCATGAAGTTATCTTAAATGTGAATTAGTAGCAGTATAATACTTATATGTTACAATAGCTTATAATACTGTCAAGACATAGTTATTTTATAGTAAAATACATAATTCCTATTTAATTTTATATAAAGTTTTAAATGTGCCATCAGCTGTTAATTATTATATTTCAATACATTTATTAATATTTCTTTAAGTTAGCAAATCTCATGTGAATTTTTAGAAAGTATTCATATGGCAAACTATTACACCAAAGTTGTGCTACTTATTAGATAGTTTTAATGTTAGCTGTGTACTATAAGGAGTTATTTATAATTATTTCAAATGTGAAAATGTGATTTTAGTATTGTGATCTTAGTATTGTGATGAAAAGGATTGTTATTTTTGAAATGTATGCTAAACTACTTATGAATGAAGTGGTGCAGTTTTAGGAATTGTCTTTGAACATAGTTTGAAAGAAGGAGAAAGAATGGAAATGGGGTGGGCTGGCTAGGCCATAAATTACTGGTTTTATATGATGCATACATGCATGCTCATTACACTGTGCCTACATCTGTTGTGTACTCTACATATATTGCATTAGATATCCTATTTAAAAAGTTAAAATTATAGTACTCCTCAACATCCATATGTTCTGTACTCCTAGACTGAAGGAATCATGGATCATATATATGAAAAAACTTATACCTTACGGAGAAATACACATTTTTCTTGTCATCATTCCTTACACAATACAGTATTTACATAGAACTTACATTAGATACAAAATTAGATACTTGCTTTAGATATTATAAGTAATCTAGAGATTATTTAAATCATCTAAAAAGATACTACTCTAATTTATATAAGGTATTTAAGCATCCTTAGATTTTGGTATCTATGAAGGGGTCTTGAAACCTTTCCTCATAGACATTGATAAATGGCTGTAAGGGACAGATGTGTATCTCTTACTGATTTTATAATGAAAATAACAGCTGTGATAAATTCTTAGTAGAAGATATTACATCTTAACTCTTCTCAAACTTACTGGTGGCTATGCTATTCTTCTGAAGGGATATCTATTAATAGTCCTCTTGAATGTTTTCGGGAAGAATATATAAGAGTAGAGCTAAGATTTTTCCATTACTTTATTATAATTCCATTTTTTCTTAAAGTTGGAAAATAGGATAAAAGGCTAAAAGTTTTAAATCTTTATTTCCAATTTATGAAATATTCAAATAATTGTCAATTTCAGATAGTCTATATTTAAATATGACAGATATATTAGTAGATAAAATAAATTTTCAGGAAAAGAATGAAAGGTAGTAAATATTTGAAAGGTGCATAAATTTGTTAATTGAATAATAGCTGTAAAATGCCAACAAACACATACTAAAGAGCTAAATGGAAAATTCTGTCTAGAAATACCCTACATTCTATGTCAATCTCCAAAATATTTAAATATTTCATCCCAAGTTTCTACAAAATTTGAGAGTCTGATAAAATTCTAATTCTATGCCCCAAATTGTTTCTTACTCTAGGAAAACCATATTAGATAAAATTATACATCAAAATGAACTTCTATAGTTGCAAGATGAGTTTCATACTTCTATGTAAAATTATTTTTAACTTTGCTTGATAGCTATATTATAAGTTCTAAATAATTTAAATGAGTTACTATTTTTAACTAAATTATATTCACATTCTAAACTTTTCATCTGAGTGGAGATGACCTGTATTATTTGTACTAGTTACCCTTTTTATTCAGCATTTCAGAGACTAGCAAACTTTATTATTATTGATCTTTATGGAAATTCAAACCAGAACATTTACATCTATTACAATATACTGCCAAAATTGCATTAATTTCCATTGATACCAATTAATATGATAAATATTTTGTCATTTGTACTATTTGCACTGTCAAAACAAGTTATTACATTCTACTGACATTTTTGACAATTGCTTTAACTCTGCAAAAATATTATCTTATTTGCTTTGACAAAAACTTAATCCTGCCTGATGAAAACATGACTGAACAAAAGAAGATGAACATGCATCAGGTTCAACTTATGATAAGCAGTAGTAGTTACTCAGAACATTCAAGTAGTAGAGCTCTTGTTTTATAGTAGAAAATTTTTGTACCTGCATAATCTGTTCTTGCAAAATGTCCATCTTCAGATTTAGTAGTTGCAGTCGTGTTATCTGCATAAAAAATTAACAATACTGACATGTTGAATCTAAACCCCTTCATATAACTTATATTTAAAAATCAATTATAAAAAAGTAGCTTAAAATGAACAAAAAACATTTTATAAGTGTCTAATATCAAAATATATGCTTCAAACAGAATCTTCATTGTAGTTATTATTTTTCACAACTATAATTCTAAGCATCTTAAAATATAAGATGTTCAATATATATATATATATATATATATATATATATATATATATATATATATTGGGTCTGGTCGTGGGACCTGAACTCTTGGCCTGGGCGCTGTCCCTCAGCTCTTCAGCTCAAGGCTAGCACTCTACCACTTGAGCCACAGCACCACTTCCGGCTTTTTTTCATTTTGCTTATGTGGTGCTGAGGAATTGAACTCAGGGCCTCATGCATGCAAGGCAAGCACTCTACCACTGAGCCACCTTCCCAGCCCCTCAATATATATTTCTATAACAGTAATGGATCAACAGTTGCTTTCTAAAGTGTGGAATAAAGGAATAAAATTAAATCTCCCCAGATATTTCTGAACAAAATAGAACACTCTTGTTTCATACTGCTATTGAAAATGGCATTGAAATGTTTCTGAGTCAATACGTAAAGTTTTGTTTTTGTTAAAAATGTCTTCTAGCTAGGTGCTGCTAGCTCATACCTGTAATCCTAGCTACTAAGCAGGCTGAGATCTGTGAATCACGGTTCAGAGCCAGCTTGGGCATAAAAATTGTTGAGAGTCTTATTTCCAGGTAACCAGCAAAAAGCCAGAAGGTGAGGTATGACTCCAGTGGTAGAGCCACTAGACTTTGAAAGGGCAAAGGTGACTCCTTGAGATCAAGCTTTAGTATGGGTATGTGCCCATGCATATGTACACAAAGGCACACATCCTTTAAATATGCTTTCACTCTTTTTACTGTTTGCAGGGAGAATGATTGTTGTCTTCTGAATGTTGGCTTTTATGGTCATGACAACACAGTCCCATACAGGAAAAATATAAAGATAAAAATATTGACAGTGAACCTTCTAACACCTCTCATCAACACAAATTCTACAGCAGGTTATACTATCCATTGTGAATCAGAATTTTCTTTCAGAAATGATATTGCTGCCTAATAAGGAGTTATCTTCACTTTCATTTCTGCACAAAGACTAGAAAACATTCTTTGATATAAATTTTGGTATGAATATTACCTTGACATCGACCCAAAGACATGACTTCAATTTTCTCCTGTTTCTGACATGATGCTTCTTTGATTTGACATGCATTATCATAAGATTTCCCATCAGAAGCACAGAGGGGATTGAAGTTCGTTTGAGAACAGTCAATGTTGCACACACACCTAAAAGAAGAGAAAGAAAGAAAAATGTATAACATCAATAGTGCTTTTTCCACATTATAAATAAAATACAAAGGAAAAATTGCTAGATAAGCAAAAATGCACGTTGGCATTTTGAATTGCATCCTTCCAGGGCAGCTCCTTCACTTTTCTATCAAAGAGGAAAAGAATCACAGAACCAACAGAAAATAATTGAAAAACCTGAGCAATAGATAAAACATGAAAATGTTGGTCTCTGTCCTCGAACTCTTAAAATATGCACACAAACTTTCAAACTTCTACTATAGAATTTAATAGGCTGAAACAACCATGAAACTGTGCTTTAGTTTCCTAAAAAGCAATCTTTGCGTCATCTCTTTTGGGGAGATATTTGGATAGATAAAACTTGAGGAAAGAGTCTCAAAGGATAGTTGAAAGGAAGTGAAGAAAACCATTGGGAATGCAATGTAGTCAAATTTCTTCAACATAAATGAAGAATATGCATAAAATGTGATAAATTGCCCAGCAGTATCAGAATACATGTTTTTCTCAGCAGCACATGGAACATTTTCCAAAATAGACCACATTTTAGGTCACAAAGCAAACTTGTCCAAATTCAAAAACATTGAAGTTATACCTTGCATTCTCTCAGACCACACGGGAATAAAATTAGAACTCAACACCAAAAGCCACCAAAGAAAGTCCTGTAACATATGGAGGCTGAACAACACACTGTTGAATCACCAGTGGGTCCTGGAAGAGATTAGAAATGAAATTCAAATGTTCATGATATTCAACAAAAATGAACACAGAAATTACCAACTCCTCTGGGACACAGCAAAGGCAGTACTCAGAGGCAAGTTTATAGCTCTGAGTTCCTTCATTAACAAATTGGAGAGATCTGAAACCAACAATTTAATGTGACATCTGAACCTCCTTGAAAAAAAGCAGCAAGATAAACCCCAATCCAGTAGATGGAAAGAAATCATTAAAATTAAATCGGGATTAAACTAATTAGAATCCAAAAAAACCATAGAAAGAATCAACAAAACAAAGAATTGGTTCTTCAAAAAAATTAACAAAACTGACAGATCATTAGCAAATCTTATTAGAAAAAGAAGAGAACAGACCCAAATAAATAAACTCAGAGTTGAGAATGGAAACATCACCACAGAAACAACCAAGATTCAGAACATTAAAAGGGAATACTTCTCAAACATTTATGCTAATAAGTTTGAGAGCATGGAAGAAATGGACCTTTTCCTAGCAAATATTGACATGCCATAACTAAACCAAGATGAGTTAAACCAACTTAACAGGTCCATATCAAGCATTGAAATAGAAACAACAATAGGAGACCTCCCATTTAAGAAAAGCCCAGGACAAGATGGATTTACAGCAGAAATCTATAAGGCCTTCAAAACAGAGCTCACACCAATACTCCTCCAACTCTTCAATGAAACTGAAAGAGAAAGTTCACTACCAAACTCATTCTATGAAGCCATCATAACCCTCATCCCCAAACCAGGCAGGGATTCATCAAAGAAAGAGAACTATAGACCCGTTTCTTTGATGAACATTAATGCAAAACTTCCCAACAAAATTTTGGCAAACTGACTTCAACAATTCATCCAAAAAATCATATATCTTGATCAAACAGGATTAATTTCAGGGATGCAAAGCTGGTTCAATATATGCAAATCAATTAACATAATTCATCACATCAACAAGAGCAAAGATAAGAACCACATGGTTATCTCAATAGATGCAGTAAAAGCATTTGAAAGATCCAACACCCCTTTATGATGAAGGCTCTGGAAAAACTAGAAATCCAGGGAACATTCCTCAATACAATAAAGGCTGTATATGATAAACCTACAGCCAGCATTATACTTTTGGTGCAAAACTAAAGCCATTTCCTCTTAATTCAGGAACAAGACAAAGATGTCCACTTCTCTTCAATTTAGTATTAGAATGCCTAGCTACAGCAATAAGACAAGATGCAAACATAAAAGGGCTTCAAAGAGGGAAAGATGAAGTAAAACTCTCCCTCTTTGCAGATGACATGATCTTGTATTTAAAAAATCCCATAGACTCCACTCCTAAATTACTCAAGCTGATTCAAACCTTTGGCAAAGTAGCAGGGTATAAAATTAACCCTCAAAAATCAATGGCTTTTCTGTATGCCAACAATGAGAAAAATGTGGCTGAAATTAGGAAAGCAACTCCATTCATAATAGCCCCCCACACAAAAATAAAATACCTAGGAACTAACTTAACCAAAGAAGGGAAGGACCTCTATGATGAAAACTTTAAAAACCTGAAAAAGGAAATAAAAACATAACTTAGAAAGTGGCAAAAACTCCCATGCTCCTGGATTGGAAAGATCAACATCGTGAAAATGGCAATACTTCCCAAGGGTATCTACGAATTCAATGCGATACCTATCAATATTCCAACCTCATTCTTCAAGGAAATAGAAGAGGCAACACAAAAATTCATATGGAACAATAAAAGACCCTGAATAGTAAAAACAATTCTTAACAGAAAGAACAATGCTGGAGGAATATCAATACCAAATTTCAAACACTACTACAAGCCATAGTAATCAAAACAGCTTAGTACTGGCACAAGAACAGACCTGAGGACCAATGGAATCGAATTGAAAACCCAGAACTGAACCCACAGACCTCCCTTTTTGATAAGGGAGCTAAAAAATAAAATGGAAGAAAGACAGCCTCTTCAGTTGATGGTTGTGGCAAAATTGGTTAATCACTTGTAGAAAACTAAAGCTAGACCCTTATATATCACCCTGCACCAGAATCAACTCCAAATGGATCAAAGACCTCAGAGTCAAAGCAGACACCCTGAAAACATTATAGGACAGAATAGAAGAAACCCTAGATCTCCTTGGAACAGGCCGACATTTTCTTAATATTGATCCAGAAACACAACAAAACAAAGAAAAAAAGTTTGGACAAATGGGACTATATGAAACAGCAGAGCATCTTCATGGCAAAGGACATAGCTAGCAAGATCACTAGAAAGCCCATGGATTGGGAGAAGATCTTCACTAGCCATACAACGGACAAGGGTCTCATATCTAAAATATACCTGGAACTCAAAAAATTAAATCCCCCAACAACAAATCTTCAAAGAAACAACTGCCCAAAAACTAAGTGGGCTAAAGACTTAAAGAGAAAATTCTCTGAAGAGGAAAGAAGGATGGCCAATAGACACATGAAGAAATGCTCAACCTCCCTAGCCATAAAAGAAATGCAAATCAAAGCAACATTGAGATACCACCTCACCCCAGTTAGAATGGCTAAAATAAAGAACTCTAATAACAGCAGATGCTGGAGGAGATGTGGACAGAAGGGAACTCTACTGCATTGTTGGTGGGAGTGTAGATTTGTTCATCCACTTTGGAAAGCAGTATGGAGGTTCTTCAAAAGACTCCACATAGAGCTCCCCTATGACCCACCAGTCCCACTTTTGGTCATTTACCCAAATGATCACAAACAAGGCCACACTAAAGCTACCAGCACAACTATATTTATTGCAACATTATTTACCATAGCTAAGATATGGAACCAGCCCAGATGCCCCTCAGTAGATGAATGGGTCAAGAAAATGAGGTATATATACACAATGGAATGCTATGCCTCCATCAGAAAGAATGACATTGCCCCATTTGTTAGGAAATGGAAAGACTTGGAAAAATTCTATTAAGTGAAGTAAGCCAGGCCCAAAGAAACATAGGCCCCATGTTTTCCCTTCTTTGCAATAACTAGTATATGTCTGAGACAAGCAGAAACTGTCAGATAAGTTGATGTTAGGGGAAATGAACCCCAAGATAAGTATTCAAATGGTTTTTTTCTTTCTTGCTATTGTTTCTAGCATATTTATAAGATTTTTTTTGTTGCTTAGTATGTCCTTCCCCCACGGTATAACCCCTGCTTTCATTGTATTTGATGTTGGTATAATTTGTGGAGGGGAAGGGCAAAAACAAATCATTTAAATAGGGATAAAGTGGACCCATTGCAGCAATGAGATATACAAGACGTTATGTCGAAAAACAAACTTTACAACTTTGGTGCGGTGGGATGGATGTGGTGAGGGTGATGGGGGGACAGGGGAGGGTGAGATGTGAGGGGATGGGAAGGGGTAAAAAATGAGAGGAAACAATGTTTGATAAGAAATGTACTCATTACCTTGCTTGTGTAATTGTAACCTCTCTGTATGGTCTTTTCACAATAAAAAAAAATTAAAAAATAGAAGAAAGAAAGAAAATCTAGGTAGCGCTTAGGATTCTGTATTGTTCAGTATTTCCCTTGGCCCCAGAGTTACTTTCTGGAAATCAGTGCCTTGTCAATGTTCTGACCAAAGACAGAGGGTTTGTATAGCAGCTAGTGAATCTCAGACTGCAGCCCTTAGACTGTCTGTGTTAAAATTTATTTAGATGGCTGCTTAAAATACTAGCTTGTCCGAAAATGCACTAAGAAATATTTATTCATTCATTTCTTGAACACTTGTTTTGGGAATGCTTGGTTATTTCTAAACATCAATTTAGGAACAACTAACTAGGACAGATGCTGAATGCTAAACTCATATAGGAATACTATTCCTGCATCAGTTTTGATGACAAGGAATCCAATGTTGCTACTTTGGTTGATTCTTGGCATTTGAGATCAGGGATTGTCTATATGTTCAAAGAGCTTTTGGTGTTTCTCAGAGTAGATCTGGAGAAGTGATCTTGTAGGTTAGGTTAGATTTAACCATTTGTATTAAAAATGGTATAGGGAGGCTGATTCTTCTGCATTTCAAAAAGGGGTTTCATTTGTCTTCTAACAAGTTTAGGTTTTAAGTACTTGTCAAATTATTTAAGTCTTAAATAATTGTACCAGATGAAGATAAAAGAGAAACATATGCTATCTCGTCTCTAGCCAACTAAATAGTAAATTGTGTAAAATATTAAGGATGTTTCAAGTCTCTTTAATTACAAAGAAATTCAAAAACATCTA